TAGTGCTTTCAATTAAAGTTTTAATTAAACTTCGGTGAGTTTCATTGGTATTAGCAGTAAGTCGGTAGCTCGCGAGTTTCGCACGAAATTTAAGTTCCCCGATATTAACTATTGAATTGAAAATAATTTAGCAGCGACGAGGATGATGCAAAAAAAAAAAAAAAATATCGACAGCAGTGGCCAAATGCTGGAGAAAAATAGCACAGGCGATATTATATTATATACACAAGTCGAGGCGGGTGAACGATGCCGGGGGTTGGGGCAGGTGGGGGCGGTAAGGAGGAAATATTCAAGTCTTTCCACAGGCGGTAAGAAATTCGATGAATTAAGCGACGGGGCCGTTGTCAGGGCGCCTTCCGCTGCTCCTAATGACTTATCGATTTTTCATCAGCCTAATGGAAGATCTTTCCACCACGGAGACAGAGTCAGACAGTGAGAGAGCGAGAAAGAGAGAGAGAGAGAGAGAGAGAGAGAGAGAGAAAGAGAGAAGGGATAGAATGAGTAGGATGGGAGGAAGGGAGGAGAGATAGGTGCGAGGAAAAAAAAAGAGAGATCGCGAGTAAGCTAAGAAATAATGAGCGCCCGAGCTGGGTAAGGGGGAAGGGGAAATAGTGAAAATAGGATAGAAAAAGAGGTTAAGAGAATGAGAGCCTGATTTGACGAGGGCCTTGGCTTTCGAGAGCTCACTCACGGACGCGCTAAAATCCGAGCGTAGGTACGGAGAGTCCTGGTTGGTAAATGAGCTTCAGGATTGCCCCCCGTAACCTCTTTTTCCATTTCCTTTTCGCACTCGACCCCGTCACCCGATCACTTCGTTCACTCTCTCTCTCTCTCTCGCTCTCTCAATTTCCTCATAAACCGCTCACCCGCTGTGCCCCCCATCACACGCTTCCTGCATTTTATTATAAAGCAAATATCCTAATTTCAATAACAACGTTTGTGGAAGCAAAAGTTTCCTTTTCGATGTACACACACACTATATATATATATATATATATATATATATATATATATATATATATATATGTATACATTCATTGACAGGGGAAGAAAAACAATGAAAAGGGGACGGGGGCGAGGCCTGAAAATCCATTGCTCTTTCCCCGGTTAACTTTAAAACTTCCTCATTGAGAGAATAATCGCATAAATGAATTTTAAAAGAAAAAAGAAATTCTTTTTTCACGCTCGCCACCAGCAATTCTCCCTTCCATTCTTAATAACTTGACGTTGATGGACGCCATATCTGGCGCTCACACTCTCGCTCTTACTCTTAACAAATATACGTGAGCTGCGACATCCAGAGCGAATTGAAATTCTCGATATCAGTTGAATCGAGCTCGATAGGAATCTCCCGTGTCTCGGAGCTTAAGCTCAGATTCAGCTCTTGTCGGGTCCCCATCCGAAGCGAATCCGAATGATAGATGCGTTTGATTCGACATGTCAATGCTCTTTTTCATTTTCGTACTATTTTAGTCAGCAATTAGTCGAGAGACAGATTGCTTAGGCTTTCGATCTTTCGTTCTCACGATGGACTATTCGCAGCTGCCACTGGAAAACGAGTTCCTTCCAGTTATGCCCAGTACGCTATTAGCATTGTGTCAGCTGGTTCGCGAGATTCGCTCGGTCGAGCATTATTTTTCATAAGTCGTTACATTGAGCAGGTATTCTTTGCAAATAATCGAGCCTCGGGATTATTAATTTACAAACCTATGAGTCTCCATCGACTTACTTAACAAAGGATAAAGGGGGAAATCTTTTTAGAAACGCATTTGCTAAGTACCAAATTACCCACTTTGTAACTAACAAAACTCTATAGCTTTGAGAAACTGCGGGAGAGTGATAGAGATAGAGCGAGAGAGAGAGAGAGAGAGAGAGAGAGAGAGACAAAGACATTCTTTAGTCGATAAATAATCAAAATTTTGAAAATAACATTTTCTCTCTTCTGTAAGGTCTTAAAACGGACTAACATTAACACGATGAAAGATGCGATTTTCGTTAGCGGTGTGCGATAACAATTGATACGAGCTTCATTTAACTAATTAACATATTCTGCTGCAACGTTATGTGGACAATTACTGTCCACGTCGTTGACGATGGCAATAGCAACGTCACGGAGTTCGTAATCTAGAGCAGTGCGTTCTCTTGTAAGCTCAGCTGCTAGAGCTACGCACGCGTACACGTAGAAGCGTCGAAGAAAAAAAAAAAGGGGGGGGGGGGAGCGATCACGATGAGCGAGCGGAGTACGAATGGTACGGTGAAAAGTAAAAGAACGAAGAGGAGAATCATAGGAGAAAGAAAAAAAACAGTGAACGATGGTAGGAGAAGTAAGAGCAGCAAAGGATGATGGAGGAGAGGAGAGGGAGGTGGGACGATAAGGATGAGGAGGAGGAGAAGAGGGTTGCGAAGGAGAGGGGCGGGGGTAAAAGACGAAGAAGAAGAAGAAGAAGACGAAGAAGAAAAAGAAGAAGACGAAGAAGAAGGAGAAGAAGGAGAAGAAGTCGACGACGACAACGACAGCTACGACGGAGAATGAGGCGCAAGAGGCGAAAGTAAGAAGAAGCTAATGACGAGACCAACAGACGGACTAGTCCTCGCTGATTTAGTAGAGGGAGGGCTCGAGAGGAGAGGGTGGAGAAAAGGAAAGAGCGGGAGGCACTAGGCGTTGTTTGTTGAATCGCGGAGATCAATACGATGCACAACTACTCTTTCTGGAGCTTGTGATGCAAGCCGCGCGCGCCTATCACTCGCGTAGAGACGCGCACGAAGGGAGGCTCTGTCGGACGGTGGGCGGCCGGGGTACGGGCGATTATCAGCCGCGTGGCCGCATTGCCATTATAGCTTTATACAAGAGGAGCGCCGCGGTTAAAATGGCGAGCGGCTCGATCGGTGTCACTGCTAAAACTGCTACTGTTGCTGCTGCTGCTGCTGCTGTTGCTGTTGCTGTTGCTGCTGTTGTTGTTGTTGCTGCTGCTGTTGCTGCTGCTGATGCTGCTGTTGTTTATCAGCATCGGCGCTCCAACGCTCGGCATTGAGAAACGTGGCGGTCGCTTGCTGGGTGCCACCCTGGCTTCCGGAATACTGCTGCTGCGTCTGCGCGTGCGTCTGCATCTGGTACACGGGGTAGCTCTTGCGCTTCCTTATCCCGTGCATCGAAAGCAAGTGGATCTGGAGGTACTGCTTGGTCTTGAATTGCTTGGCGCAGACATGGCAGGATATGTACTCGGTCTGGACTGTGTGCACGTTCACGATGTGTTGCTTGAGGTTCGAATTGTTGGAATAGATCTTGCCGCACTCCGGGCATTTCGGCTTGCCCTGGAGGCTGTTCCCGTCCACTTGGTGTTGGAACGGGTGAAGCAGAGCCAGCTCTTCGATCTTTTTTTTGGCGCACGACTGGAGCATAAGGTTCAACTGCTGCTCGCTCGTCTGCTTCTGCTGGAGACTCTGGAGATTGTTCTGCAGCTTCTGGTGCATTATCGTCAGCTGCTCGGAGTTGAGACTACTCAGGGCGTTGAGCGCCTGCTGCTGTTGTGACTGTTGTTGGCTGGTGGCCGGATGGTGATGATGCTGCTGCTGTTGCTGCTGTTGTTGTTGCTGTTGCTGTTGTTGTTGCTGTTGTTGCTGTTGGGGCTGCTGCTGCTGCAGCAGGAGCTCCGACTTGTTGGAACTGGGGCCCCCCGTAGTCTCGTTCCTCGAGGACGAGTTGGTGCCGGCGAGCCAGGCAGAGCAGGAGCCGGAGCCGGAACCCTCACCGCCCGAGGGCTGCCACCGCCCTGGAACCACCAGCCAATTTTCAGTCCTCAGCCAAGCCCGGGCGATTCCTTAAACACTAAACTCCCTCTTCTCTTCCGCGCGACTTTCTCGATAGCCTCAGCCATTTGATTTCTTTTCGGTATGCGCGTCTCT